GTGTGGAATGGATCGCCACACAACGAACCCTGGTGAGCCCAGCCAGGGAGGGATTCACCACTGTGGAAGGTGTAAGACAGGACGGTCTTTGGTCTCGCCGACACTCACGTACGGAGGGCGAGCCCTGGTCCGCGGAACCTGCCTTACAGTCATCTAAGGAGACGACAGCCCAAACAGTGGACCGGCTTTCATCCCGGCCGGAAAGGGCCGTCGGCAGACGAACAGAAAATCGTCTGGAATATGTTGAAAATGATGATGTTGCAGAGAAGAAATACAGATGGAGCAGAAAAATTCGTCTGGAATATGTTGAAAATGATGATGTTGCAGAGAAGAAATGCAGATGAAGCAGAAAAATTCATCTGGAATATGACGGAAAACGAAGATGTATAAAGAAACTCAGATGGAGCAGAAAAATTCATCTGGAATATGAAAATGAAGATGTATAGAGGAAGAACGCAGATGGGACAGAAAACTCGTCTGGAAGAGTATGGAAACCAGGAGGAAGTGAGAAGAAGTCAGAAGGTGTGGAGAAACGACCTACAAGGTGCGGTATGTGAAGAAAGAAGACAGAAGATGTGCTGTCCTGACATCACAAGAAAGTCGATGATGAAGGACCAACCGACTACAACTGCTGAGCTGCCGCCATCCCCTATTTTTCAGATACCAGCTGGATGGAAGACGTGAGCTATGCCGGACCCAACTAATGTACTGATGTTGTTGATGTATAATAAAAAGATATCAATCCCCTAATATGTGAAGTAGGAACATTTTTTGTGTATTTTGAAGTATTTTCTCTGATTTTTGTTGATGTTTACTACAAAGAATGTCTTTTTTTTAGTCTCACTTTTTTCTATGAGTTCATTTGATCAATGTCTTGGACTATGAAACACGATGTTGTAGCTATATTACTGACTGAGATGAATTATTATTTTGACATGGGCTGATAAGGAAATGTAACACCTGTTGTTGTTTGTAGAATGTGATTTGCAAGGTTGCCTCGGACACTATGCTACATATGAAGGATTTTTTCATTCTATGTTCACTTGCTATGTTTCCTTTTTCTCCTGGCATAGAAGCTTTGATCTTGGCGGGAGGTATAGTGAGCTTTGTCAGATCAAACTAGCGCCAGTAGAAAAACATACACCTATGAGATTGTTGTTTGTGAATGTGAGACTATGTTAGCGCCCCAGGGATTATCTTTGATACCACACGTGATGTTGCTGTCTATATGTGGCATCAGTATCTGTGATGAAGCTTTGGTCTTGGCGGGAGGTGTAATGAGTGATTGTCAGACCAAACCTTACAGCCCAGAATTATGTCACATATAACAGCAAGTACACCACAGACCTCGTGGTACCACCGCATTCCAGGTTGACACACCTCAGGTCGACCCTAGGGACTTGACCTGGCCCGCTAATGACGTGAGCCGGTGACCTACAACCGCACCTAGCCAAGACACCTGGCCAGGACCACACCTGCACACAATTATCCAGATCAAACCAGTTTAGTGTTAATTGGTAGAGGTCAGAAGCCGGCTGGGCCGACCCCATATAAAGGCCCTACAGTCCCGTCCACGGGCATTCCTATTCCATTATCATTATCATTCTGGTTGCTGTCATCTCTCTCCCGTTCGGGTCGTCACTCGGTTCACTAAGCAGAGTCACGCACGTCCCCTCCCCAGGTCGGGAGGGAGACCTCCCGACCGGACCACGGCGTCGCCAGCTAAGCAGACCTTCCCATAGGAGGTAGCCCAGCCAGCACTCACTGGGCCTACGTCAGGGTACACGTGAGTCTTGTCAGAACGTCCTAGGGTGAGTTACCTACTGTGGGAAGTGTATTCATTCAGGTGTGTCCGAGAGTCAGTGTCAAGTAACGTAAAGCATGATGTGTTAGTACCCCGATATAATAGTGATATTAATGTGTCCATGTCATTGAGTGAAGTAATAAATAGTTGTATCAAGAGGTGTTTAACAAGTTGTCCCTTTACGAAGTGATATATGTGTATTGACATACGAGATAAGATAAGCGTAGTGACGCTGTGCAAATAACATCCAGGCCACGCTACCAAGTTTCCTATCTTTACATTCCTATACTCTATACTCTCTCCTATATATATATATCTTCCTCTTCTCTGTTTATTCTGTTTCATTACACCAGCGCCTCCTCACGCAACGTGTCGTCTGGCCCGGCATCAAGTCTGATACTAAGAAATGGGCTGCCCAGTGCCTGGCCTGCCAGTCCTCCAAAATACATCGTCACATACGGGCCCCCTTACAAGCTTTTCCTATTCCCAAAGGCCGTTTTCAAGTAGTACACCTCGACATCGTGGGACCTCTACCATCATCCTACGGTAGCACCTACATCTTCACCTGCATCGACCGTTTCACCAGGTGGACAGAAGCAATTCCCATGCCCAACGCTACAGCAGAGACTACTGTCCGCGCCTTCATGTCCGGTTGGGTTTCCCGTTTTGGCCCCCCAGCAACCGTAATCACTGACCGAGGAGTACAGTTTGAGTCACAACTCTGGCAGCACCTCCTACAGTTCCTCGGCACGTCTAGACAACGCACTACAGCATATCACCCTCAAGCCAACGGTATGGTAGAACGTTTTCACCAGCAGCTGAAGGACGCACTCAAGGCACAGCACGACCCTTACAGCTGGACTGATGCGCTTCCCTTAGTGCTCCTCGGCATCCGTGCGTCACACAAGGAGGATATGGATTGTAGCCCAGCAGATCTGACACTAGGCGAGCCCCTTCGGCTACCCGGGGATTTCTCACTCCCTCCTGATCCCAACCAAACCACTCCAGCCGTTCGTCACGACTTACTCCAAAAGCTACGACAAGCAGTTTTTGCATTCAGAGCTACTGCTCCACGCCAGCCTACTCGGCGCCCTGAACACATCCCTCCTGCACTACTCACAGCCGAGTATGTTTTCGTCAGGCATGATGCTCACCGCAACCCATTACAACGCCCCTACGATGGACCCTTCCAGGTGGTTACCCGTTCTGCAAAGTTCCTGACAATTATCCGGAATGGCAGACATGACACCGTCAGCATAGACAGAGTCAAGCCGGCCGCCTTACCCGTCGGGCCCCCAGCCCAGCAGCACCATCAACAAACTACGCCTGCACCAGTCCACCCGCAGTTACCACCGGCAGCAACACCACGCCCACGACATTTCTGGGCACCCTCTTTTCACCCTCATGTACAACCTGCTCCTGTCATAGAACCTGAACCTGTAATAAACCTCCCTCCTATCATAGAACCTGCTCCTGTCATAGACCCTCCTCCTGTCATAGAACCTGAACCTGCTCCTGCCATGGACCCTCCTCCTGACGCAGCCCCTGCAGCAGCAGGAGCACAACAACCATTGCTTGTACAACCTCCTCTAATCCCAAACCCTCTTTCTCCTCCTAATTCTCCCACAGGTTTTGTGTCACTGGACGGAGTTGTTACACGTAGCGGTCGAGTCGTACATACACCTGCCCGGTATGTGTTATGTGTGGGACACAACCCGGACAACATCCAGCCTCCCGCCGCGCCTGGAGGGGAGGGGGAGTATTGTAGTGGACGTCTCCTCTACAAACTAACTGCGTAGCTGCACACCACCTGCTATCACATTCCAATGTGCCGCCTTCCCTAGCAACCAACCAGATGTTACCGTATCTTTGCAACGAAACTATTCACCGGCTACTTCTCGGGTTTTCCCACCATGACTCATAGCGGCTGCTGCGGGGTATATAAGCTCTGTCTCTCCATTGAGATTCAGTCTGACCAATCTTCTTGAACAAGCAACACCTCCTCCTCTGCCGCTGCCTGGCGACCCTCGCCTCTCCTCCGCCTGCCTGGCGGTCCTCGCTCCCGCCAGCGAGCATGTCCTTCTCTGAGCTTCCTCACCAACCAACTCTCATTCTGCCCATTTTCCTGAACAAGCAACATCTCCTCCAGCAAGCTCCATGCTGTTAACATTTCATTCAACCAGGAATCCAGCAACAGGCAACATCTTCTCTAACGAAGCTCCTGCACATCTACCTCCTTCGACAAGCTACTCACCGCACGTCTCTACCAAGCAGCCCCTCACCACACAGCACCTCCAGCACCAGACTGTCTATCCTATAACTTATATATTATACAAGAAAACCACATTAGAGTTTCCTTCCATCCTGAGTGCTAGACAACTTTAATATCTCGATACCCCTACAATGGTTAAGTTAGATTAGGTGAGGTGAGGTTAGGTTATGGTCAGTGGGTTGATTTACTGTAGTTAAATTCTTCCTGACTGGCTCACCTACATTTTCACATCTTCACTAATGACAAATATTCATCATAAGACTGATGGTGAATTCAACCCCAGGTCAAGCGATAATAGGCAACATCATCAGCGGTCATACGGTATTTTTCACTTAACACGATGGTCGGATGTGCGGTATCCTCACACGACGCAGGAGCCCACTGACAGCTCAAACAACAGACAGTGGCCAATATACACTCACATTAACCAAACACCAGCCTAATTAACACTAACATTATCCATAACCTAATTAAAACTAACCTTAACCAAATCAACAATAACAATAACCTAACAGTAACCCATAAATAAACTAAGGTTAACCTTGCATACATTATACTAATACTAACGTCATTAACATAAAACCAACTTAAACAAAATAACTTTAACCTGACACATGCTATACACAAAACTAACAAACACTAACCATCACCGCTACTACCACTATCACCAACACAACCACCATCACTTCCACAACTTCTCATCATTATCACCAATAACCAACACTACTACCACCTCCACCATTACCACCACCACCAGCGATACCACCACCAGTACTACTACCACCTCCACCACTACCACTGTCTCCACTAGTACCACTACCACCACCATTACTATTAACACCACCGTCACTGCTATTAACACCACTACCATTACCAACATCGCCACTACCACTACTGCCTCCACCACTAACAGGGACGACTTACCTAGCGTTAGGGTCGCAGCGCGTTGACTGACGGTCCGCAACCTTCTACCGCTGGTGGTGAACTGTGCCGACCTCTACGGTCTCTACCGCCACCACTATCATTCTGCCCACTACCACCTCGACCGGGCCCTACGCCTATGCGTTCCCTTGTTTACATCCAGCGTATCAAATCAATGATTGTATCGGTTCCATTAACACAGTTTTTTATAGTAGATAACTAATATTAGGTTAGGTTGGTTCATTTTATAAATACTGTTGAGCCTTGGGGACCGATTCCACAAGAAACTCCTGGCAATTATATTTATGGTTCCCTTTTCCCCACCCCCAGGCCCCGATGTGGATCAGTGACCTGTGCCCGGGTGGGCTAATCTCCATTAAAAAACAAAAACATTATGGATATACCAGGTACTGCTACATTATAAACACTATCGATCATAAAATGAACCAAACTGACCTACCTTACCTGACCTAGCCTAATTTAAAACAATAAATTTATTTACAAAATTATACTATACAGTATATATTTTCTAAGAAAGGAGTCGATGAAATGAATGCCTGGAAGTGGAATGAAACGTTACGGTAAGGAAATTTCAAGTGTAAATATGTCATTAGTGTACCTAAGAAACTCTACAGTATGTCTCACACACACACAGTATATTATATATAATTTCACCAAGGAGGTTATACTGTATGGCGTATCACTACCACAGTTTCACTTCACATTTAATGTGCTGTATAAAGTACTGTACTTGATAAATGATAATTTAATAACTTCATTAATTTTCAATATCTATTAATTTATTGGTTATACTTTGTCATAACCAATCAGCCATTACTTTTGGTAGTTATTCAGATTGGGTTCAGATACGGCCAGATAATTGCACTTACATTTATTGGCAAGGTTTCATACAGGCTCATTCCACGACAAATCATAAAGTGGTCTATACCACACCCTCAAATATTTTGCTTAAATTTGGGATATACAATAGTCTATGGTGGCAAACTCCAAATTTCAAATTTTAACTTGGTTACATTTTCTTTTGTTTTTTGAGGGGGGACAATAATTTCAAACTGCTGTTGCTCAGTCCCAAATTGACATAAAATGATGATTTAAAGTGCATATGAAAGTTAATTTTACACTTAACAAATTAGTATAACTAGAGAAAATGCTTAAAATAAGTTATGCCAAGTTTCTACATTTTAAGGGATTCTGCCTCCCCCCCCCCCAAAAAAAAAAATAATTTTTTAAAACTGAGAAGCACCTCACTTTTGAAGAGCATTACGAGGAACAGGCTATCTAGGTATCTGCATGACTTTCTTATAAAACCCACTTGGTTAGTCAATTGATTTATCTTCTCACAATGGTCTAAAAACTTCAACATACACACCCAGGTCCTTTTCACATTTGGTTTCTGTTAATACTGTTTCTTCATCCCGTTGGGGCAGATGATATGCCTCTTTACTGTTGGTAGGACCTAGGTGCATCCTTTGGCATTTCGTGATGTTGAATCTTAACAGCCATTCCTTTGACCACTCCTGAAGCCGACAGATTTTTCTGTAGCTTTTCACAGTCCATTTGATTCGTTCTTTCCCAGAATAACTTGGCATCGTCTGTGACCTTTTGTATGGAGGAGTGTATAGTTTCTGTCATGTCATTTATGAAACAGGAAGGGGAAGTGGTAGTTATGGTAGGTGTGAGGTGATACTGTAACCTTCACTTTATCCTCTCCTGTCCAGGTCAGGTCACTAACTGGTGAACTAACAGGTTATTACACCAATACACAACTCTTATGCAAAAAGGTTAGCTGAGCTGTATACTTGAACTATCTACATGCTGAATCAATTGTAAATTTGTATGACCTTACCTTCATGACTTTATTGAATACGGCTCTGAAAATTTTCTGTACCTGTGGTTTCTTTAACTTGAGGCTGTGGGGCAGCCATCCATTACTTCAAGATATAAACACTTGACAAAGTTGAGTGATGTCCTTTGAGGTGCTCTTAAACTATTACCGTAAATCACCCCTTGCCTCTCTATAGTATAAGCTAGACAATTCAAGTGTGATACACTAAGATGGTGTCAATATTATTTTACATTTTCTAATATAATGTTTTACGAACTTATTCTGCATTTGTAACTAAATTATTTTGATAAACATATTATGCATATAGACTTATTTTACAATATCCAGTGTTATACAGTTTTATATTTAATAATCTTATTGTGCATTTTTGTGTACAGTACTGTACTGTACTGATACCCGCTGTTACATGAAGATTAACTATCCCAGGTAGCATCAGGGTAGTTCATTCTGAACTAATTAAAAAAAAAAAAACAAATATATATATATATATATATATATATATATATATATATATATATATATATATATATATATATATATATATATATATATATATATATATATATATATATATATATATATATAAATAGCCCTCATTCATTTTATATCCCAAAACACTCTTTCTCTTGAAACATGAAATTCATAGTACAGATGTAATGACCATACAGTTCAGTCCCAGTCCCGGGACAGATGTGAGAAAGGTGTTATCTAATGAAACCTCACCAAACATGGCAGGTTTCCTCTGGGTACTACAGTTTCCTCCTGTACTACTAACACTGGACCATGAAGGATGGCCCTTACTAATAAACAAAGTAGGATTTCTCCGGGTATTACAGTTTCCTCCTGTACTAATGCTGGAAAATAAGTCATAACAAAGTAACAAAGAACTGAACAACCACTGAAATGACTAGCAAGCTGAGAAGTGGTGAAATGACAAACAACTTTAAAATCAAATAATGTGCTTAACAACTTAAGTTTTTCCTGAATAACATAAAAACACCAAAAGCACCATAAAATAATTACAAGTGGCAAGTCATTAGGGTTATAAAACAAATTATTCCATGAGTCATTAGGTCACATATTACCTAAATTGTAACTTTTGACCCCAGATCCTGAACCACCCTTCTTGTTTTGGATACAGTACTCAAGTTTTTATCTTATTCTGAAGGTTCTACAAGATATTGATGAAATTCCTTTGGGTTTCTGGTTAATCAGAAAATGTAGTTAATTCATCAATAATTTAATAGTGATTTACATTTCAATGATATGGAAACTGATTTACCAGTACTGTACGTTTCAAAGATAGCAAAGTTTCTAATCTTGTGCTTTTTAAGTTTTATTTTACTGCTACAGGAACAATAGGAAGCATAAGTAACATTTCACTGCTACAGAAACAACAGGAAGCATAAATATAGTACAGTACTGTAATATCTCACTGCTACAGAAACAATAGGAAGCATAAGTAACATCTTGCTGCTACAGAAACAATAGGAAGCATAAGTAACATCTCTGCTACAGAAACAATATTAGAAAACAGAAAAAAGTATGTATAAGTAATCCTTCTTTAACACAGGGTGTCTCTGGAAAATTTATAAACACTACCTTACAGATTTTCATAGGCGATCGTCTGAATGCATGTAATAAAGCAGGAACATTGTCCTCAATTGTGTGTGACTACTGACCTCACACATCAACAAGTGAGGACACTATTACAGTACAATATTAGTATTCACGAGATTGCCATGAAAATCTGCAAGGCAGTTTTGTGCTGTACAGTATACGTTTTTCTGAGACCCTGTGTAGTTGACATTGAGGGTGTTCTGCCAATAAGATGTCACACCAGTATATCCAATGATAAAAATGTGCCCACAATCAGTATCAAATATACACTTGCACTTTATAAATCAAGTGATGTCACAAAAAAATAAAAAATTAGCCGGTGTGTTATTGACTTATTGGTCAGATCACTTGGAATTTATTAGTTAATAAAGTTGCTTACATTGTCAATACAGCACAGATGTTTTACAAGTATGGATTAGGAGACTTTTTGATATTAAGATACAAAAGTTACAAAATCAAGGAAGGGAACATACAACTGGGCGCCAGGTTGTGTTACCCTTCCAGCCTCAGGACCAGGAGTATATCTAGGAATCTTCAAGTGGACACCTTACCCACTCCAACCTTCACCAGCACCAATCACAATATCATGGATAAATGGGAGCCTTGTACATGTTTTCTTGCTCTCTCTCCTTCAGGGTTAATTTTTCACCGATATTAACTTAAAGAAAACACACCTTAATGTATAATAATAGCAAAAGTAACACTCCTGGACCCAATGGCTAACAATCCTTACACTAGTTATATGGAATGATCTTTGGTTTGACTCTTTTACTCAAACAATGTCTCACACTCTAACCACAGAAACTTTGTACAAAAAGCTTACACTAGATTTTCACAAAGCAGAATTCTCAGTAATCTTTACACAGAATACGGTACCCGAACCTTTAAGACAGTTATGGCAATACAAGGTAACCCAGACAAAAGTATCTTCCATATTTGTAGTGTTACCAAGAGCAGTACCCTTATCCAACACCTGGATGCCTTCATCACACACACACACACACACACAATTACTCTATCATAAACACCTTTACATCCAAAGGTCTAACTTTTTCACTCTTAACAACAAGAGTCTGCAATAAATCCAACACACATACAGGCAGAATTCTGCTTATAAATGAACAGACTATCTGGGTTATTTGATGGCTTTATATCTACTGTATTTAAATTCACACAAAGTACAGTCCACCATCCACCTCAACACACACTTCATCCTGGCGGGTTGAGATGTTGATTATATATATATATATATATATATATATATATATATATATATATATATATATATATATATATATATATATATATATATATATATATATATATATATATATATATATATATATATATATATTTATGCTTATATATATATATTTATATATATTTAATGACACTCTTTAATAGTCCCCTGAGACAATTTCTGGTTTTTATAAACTATACTGTATGTATAGGAGTGTGTCTTGTAACAACAACAAATAAGTAGTAAATATAATATTGGTCATTCAATATTACAAAGTTTATATGGCAATCATGAGAAACTTAGCATATATCAATCTAATCTGTGGGAAGAAATTGATAGGAAGGCTTAAGCAAAATAATATGTTAAGCATACATGTAAATACAGATTTGGCAACCAATATCTTTTTCTTCTTTGAGTTCTGACTAAACAAACTTTCCTAAACTGAATCCACTACTGAATTACAAAAAAAATAAAATCAAAACAATATTTCTCAAATGCAAACTCAGAAGTTGTAAAGTAAACAAGTCATTATACAGTAAACTAAACATTGTGTTTTCTCCCATGTTGCTTGTTTACTCTTAATCATGTCTCGGATCCTTGTACTGTTCTGTCTTAGCATCCGGGAAGGTGCTGTGTGATCATTCTTAACTCTTCACACCTCCATCATCCCCACTGTATATTATTCTTACCTCTTCACACCTCCATCATCCCCACTGTATATCATTCTTACCCCCACTTCACTCTTCACACCTCTACATATTCCTTCCTCATCTTGTACATTCGTCCCTTCCACCTCTTGGTAGAGTAGATGGTCTTCTTCCATCTCTATCAACAGTTATATAAATAAATTTAATATTTTTAAGACATTTTGTGGGTGGTTACAAGTACACTGCCAACATTAAAGTAAAATTAAACAAATAATTCAATTATATAAACTTAGCATAGTTATCATTGTTCGTTCTTTACAGTTTAATCACCGGAAATGATCCCCAAAACGACTCCACATGTTTATACTACAAAAAGTAAACAAGATTAAAGTCAGTTCCCAGCTAGTCTCATTTGTCTATAGCTAAAGCAAACTCCATACTATAACAAAATATTAATAGTATAGTACAGTAATATAATCCCCTCTAGGAAACATGCCAATTAAATCTTTCCTAAGTTCATATTAGTACAAGAAATCTGAATTTTAATGTCCTGTATTCACTAATCTCACATTACTAAGTACAGTATTAACTAATCTATGGTAGCTACAATTTGTTCCTTTATTATGATAGATTTGCTACAGTATATCATCTGTTATTGTTATATAATATGTCATGAATAAACAGCTTATGATGTAGATTTTAATACCAGAATATCTATCTATGTTGATAACTAATAAGCATGTTACAGTCCTTTATAATCTAGTAAAACTGTCTTCACTCAGCACAACTGTCAGGTTATTATGATGGACTGCTGGGTAAAGTTATTATGAGGGACTACTGAGCAGTGAGATTATAACAATAACTAAGTCATCCTTTAACACTATTACTCACCATCTACTTAATATTCTCTATCTCTTCTTAGTAAGTAATATTTGTTCTATACTTTTTTGGGAGAGTAAATATATATATGTTTTCTTATGTAGCCAGCACACTGTACCACACACATTATGTACCCAGCTTACTGTACCACACATAATATGTACCCAACGCACTATACCACACACATTATGTACCCAGAACACCATAACGTACTCACACACAAAACCTACAGTGCTGTACCGTACAGTATGTTTAATTTTGGAGCTGTTACCTACTGTATAATAATTTAATGTTAACCCCCCAAAAAAAAAAAAAATTGCATTTACACTGAGATTCATATTTAACTTGTACATTGATTAACTTAAAATATTCTTTTTAAAACACTAAAACCAACCATAACCACAGAAGCACTAAGGACTGAGGTCAACTTACAATAGCAGTATTCTCTACTCATCAGAGCTTTCTCCCATTTGTTTTAAAAGGTTACACATCCAACATATGTATAACATGACTAGCCAAGGTAAAATAATACCCATATTAACCTGTAACTTTTACAGACTGAAAAATATCAATTAATGGAAATCAAAGTAAGATCATGAGTTAAATGAACAGTGAGAGTTTGATCCTGAAACACCATTTTATGGTCAGTTCAGATTTAGGTAAATCAAAACACTAAGTCTTGGTCATGACCCATAAGATCTGATAGTGCGGCTGGGTCTGATGTTATGATGACTTTATCTCCCTTACTGTGACTGTCACCCTAAAAGGGAGAGTAGAAGCCAATGTTATCCCTCAAGGACACTACAGGGAGGAGGTTTAAATGAGCATGTGTTATCATATCTGTGTGCATCTCATTACAGTATTCTGTTCAGGTCAGCTATGATGGTTCTTTAGGTGTTAGTCCCCATTCTGTTCCAGCACACTTTGACATCAATCTATGGGAGGGTCTCTGAGCTGCTTGCTTCCTTGTCCATCCATAAAATTGGATTTCAGGACCAATTCTTTATTTATGGCCAATTGGCCTTTACTAGGCAGCTCGAGTACCAGAAGCAGCTAAAAACAAGATGATAAATATTCTAACTCCTAATGTTACATTGTACTTACCCCAAAGGGAAGTTAGAAATGATTTTACTGTTTATAATTAATTTCATATTGTATTATGGTACAAGGATTCCACTCCTACATTCTTCTCCTATGACAAAGACTATCAGTGTTTTGTCTTTTGGTCCAGGAAACAGTTCAAGAATGTATGGGCCAAGGACCAGGTACCTTTTTTAGGTAATGTGTGATTGGAAATTTCACTTAAGAAATCCATAGAAAATACAGCTTAAAGCTGTGCAGTCTAGATGAGTCCAAGTGATAGTCTTGACAATAATAGTGATTATATAATAACATAATAATACTTGAATAATACCAACTCCAACTTAAGTTAAGAGTTTCTTTTCTACCTAAGAAGTTCACACTCGATCTCAAGCAAGTCCACTAACAGAAAGAACTAAAACAAATAAACTATAACCACTCCATCAAGCTTGTAGCTCTGACACTCTTCCTCCTGAGACCAAGGCAAGAGGTTACACTATCTTATGGTCTAGCTCACCCAACACAAATGTTCCACTGAAATGTTAGAAAAAAAAATATATTAACTGTACTGTACAGTATTGGTCCTATACACCAAGTACTGTAACAAATTTGTAAAATTCACAAAGACTCCTTAAACAGGATTGGAAAAGATCTTCAACAGCAGTGAAGAGATTAACAGCAAAATCCTCTCTCAACAGCCATCAGTTAGATAAAAAATAAATTATCCTGGAAATGCCTCCAAGCATTTTCACAGTGTTTGACAAATCTGTTTAGTATTCAATTAAAAAGACTGTAGTTGGAATACTTTTTTGATATGATCTTTGCGAGAAAAAAAATCTATATGAAAATTATACAGAAAACCAGGTGGTCTGTTATAAAATGAACAATAACTGCCCTCATAAACAACCTTGGTACTGTGATGTGACTGAGTCCCTTAAAGAACTCCTTGAAGATCGCCCTGACATTACTGAGGTGATTTCTGCTACTAATTTACTACACTCTCTAAACTTAGAACTTGCAGACACTCTTATATTTTGGGACAAAGTACTTCAAATAATTTTAGATTATTACTGAGGACTGTGAACTCCAACCGTAACATCTCAAACAACAGTGTTACATTACCAAAGACAAAGTACTGGAGAACAAGGCACCACCTGTATGGTGGAATGTGTGGTCACAACTGGGTCGAGATTGATGACTGAAAAACTATTATGGCTGATGAACACACACTGTGATGTCCAAACTAGTTTATGTGATGTAAATTGCTTACCTACAGAAGGCTCCTCCCTCTAGTGAACATGAAGGAAAACCTTTACTTCTTCACCCCTTTCTCGAGTGATGGCTACTGTAGGGTGACAGGGTGCTGTAGGGTGATGGATGCTGTAGGGTGATGGCTGCTGTAGGGTGATGGCTGCTGTAGGGTGACGGATGCAGTAGGGTGTAGCAGACTAATAATAAGCTCAGACCCAGCCAGTAATGTTGCATATCCTGGGTGTGGACGAAAGGCTTCATGTTGTACTTATATACTCGAGGAGGCCACTCAGTGAAGAGGACCAGCTGGGCATCACATGACCAGCTGGCCATAACAGGATTACTTTCTTGGAGTGGTGGATTTTTCTTCTGGGACATTAGTGACAATACAATAAAACTTGATTCAGCCCAACTCCTAAAAATGTTAAAATATCTAACTTACTATGTACTTAAATCTGTTATAACTCCCACCACTACCACTGACACTGTACAGCTACTTACATTCAGTACTGTACTAAGCTAATTTCATCACAGTACTGTACTGAGCTTCTTTCATCACAGTACTAAGCTTACATTCATCGTCATGGTAATCTCACATGCACATTATATCATCAACTCTTGGCTGTGAAAAATTCTAATATGTAATAAGACACAAGCCACCATGATGGTACACTACTTATACTGCATAGTGTCCACCATGATGGTTCTTATATAGTGTCCACCAGGACCTTGTGCCAAAGAAGAACACCCTCCTTCTTGCAGCTTCTCATGAGGGTAAGATGGAGGATCATTAGTTCTTTGTGTTGAAGAAAGCAATTTTGTGTCAGTTTAAAAAATAAATTCTTGGGAAAATGTAGGCATGTCATTTCATTGTTGCCAGCATTGTTTGAGCTCTGCTGTTGAAACACAGGTTGATGAGTCTTTAGATAACACCTGCTACACAACTTGTAATGGACTACCCTCACCCACACAATGCATCATTAACTAAAGGCATATTTATTTGTCATCAGGAGCAACTTTACGAACGATATATGCAGCGACCTCCTCTGACCTACCTGTGTGGTCTTCCTTTTGGCAATTCTCTACACTTCTAACTAATTCCTTTTCATGGGTTTCCTTCTCATCTTCCTTTATTCCATCTTCCTTCTTTTCCTCCTTAGTTTCTTCCTGAGGTTGTGTTAGATCTTCCTCGTTGTCAGGTTCATCATCAGAGGTGGGCGGGGAGTGGACGCTGGTGGGGGTCTCGGTGTTCTCTGGCACTCTCTCCATGGTGGACTTGGTTTTGCCACGTGATAGGTTCTTCTTACTGCTTCTACTTCTTCCAACTCAGTCTGTGGACGTGCACGATGTTAGTGACTAGGATTTTTATTATTTTACATTACATACACACACACTGCACACATACATACATATTCTCAACACACACACACACAACACATACATACAACACACACAAAACACTAACACACACAAACTCATATGGTTGATCTTGCTGGAATAAACTACTAATGGGTGAATCAATTTACTGTTTACCATTGTTTGTATAGCAACAAAATGTACAGAAAAAAGTATTTGTACAACTGCACTGTCTACTGTACATTGTTCGTCTACCTACAGTATTTATGTACAGTGTATTATTTGTATACTTGCACTGTATATGTACATTATTTGTATATTTGTACTGTTTATGTACTGCATGCTCAAATAATGACCTGCTGAACTACCATGGCATCATACCTGACTGGTGAAGAAGAACAACCATGGCAACATACCTGACTGGTGAACAAGAACTATGGCAACATACCTGACTGGAGAACAAGATCCTTGGCAAAATACATGACTGTTGAACAAGAACTATGGCAACATATCTGACTGTTGAACAAGAGCAACCATAGCAACATACCTGACTGGTGAACAAGACCTATGGCAACATACCTGACTGGTGAACAAGACCTATGGCAACATACCTGACTGGAGAACAAGATCCTTGGCAAAATACATGACTGTTGAACAAGAACTATGGCATCATACCTGACTGGTGAACAACAACAACCATGGCAACATACCTGACTGGTGAACAAGACCTATGGCAACATACCTGACTGGAGAACAAGATCCTTGGCAAAATACATGACTGTTGAACAAGAACTATGGCATCATACCTGACTGGTGAACAAAAACAATGACAACATACCTGACTGTTGAACATGAACCATGGCAACATACCTGACTATTGAACAAAAACAACCACGACAACATACCTGACTGCTGAACAAAAACCATGGCAACATACCTAATTGTTGACCAAAAACCATGGCAACATACCTGACTGCTGAACAAAAACCATGGCAACACACCTGACTGTTGAACAAGAACACCACATAACAAGACGCACTGTAACTTAACGTCACCTCACCTTGACAATGGTAATGTGATGAGCACGTCTGTTTCTTAGGTAACGCATTGGAAGAGGATTGACCCAGTTGAAAGCCGTCTGTCAGAGAGGAGAAAAACTCAAAATTAATTATATACATTCAAAAATTAATTATACATTCAGATAAGAAATAAAACGACAAACATTCATACATTAAACTTATATTTAAAGGATTGAATAAAATGAAACAAAATTATGAATATTCTACCTTAAGTAAAGATTATGTTATATTTTCGTATTTTAGTTTAGTTCATAGTTATTATTAAGACAATTTAATTCACTATTATAAAAATTCTACTAATTTACTCTCTCTCTCTCTCTCTCACCTGCTCACCCACTCTCACTCGTTCACTCACTCTCACTCGTTCACTCACTCTCACTCGTTCACTCACTTTCACTGCCTCACCCACTCTCACTCGTTCACTCACTCTCACTCGTTCACTCACTCACTCGCTCACCCACTCCTCACTCCGCTCACCCACTCTCACCTGCTCACCCACTCTCACCTCGTTCACCACTTCACTGCCTCACCCACTCACTCGCTCACCCACTCTCACTCGTTCACTCACTCACTCGTTCACTCACTCTCACTCGTTCACTCACTCTTACCGACCCTTACTGATTACTCACTGTACTCCAAGCTTTGTCAATAAATTTGTTGAACTAAAAACTCTTTTACTCACTCACTCATCCACTCCCTCATTCACTCATAGTCGGAATCTTACTCATTCTTGTGGGACTAGAAGTAGTACATTAGTGTCCGTCCATTTGTCACGTACATTAACAGTGTCCGTCCGTTCATTTGTCACGTACATTAACAGTGTCCGCTCATTTGTCACGTACATATGTCCACATTTATTCAGCCAACTCTAATTAGTACTGACCTGAGAGAGAGAGAGAGAGAGAGAGAGAGAGAGAGAGAGAGAGAGAGAGGGAGAGAGGAGAGAGAGAGAGAGAGAGAGAGAGAGAGAGAGAGTCATAATTAAAACATCTCTCCTTTTCCACTTACTTGAATCTTGGCCGACAAACACCGTAGAGTTTTCCTTCCCTCCTCCCGCATGTTTGGATGGGTAATTAAGTACCTCACGTGTGTTTGGGTGGGTAAATAAGTACCCCACATGTGTTTGGGTGGAATTGACCCACATGTGTTTGGGTGGGTAAATAAGTACCTCGTGTTTGGGGGTAAATGTTTGTAAGTCTGTTTGGGTGGGTAATTAATCCCATGTGTTTGGGTGGGTAAAAGTACCCGTGTTTTGGGTAATTAAGTACCCACATGTGTTTGGGTGGGTAAAAAGTACCCCACGGCTCTCCCTTCCCTTCTTCCTCCTCTTTCTCACCCATTCTTCCTCCTCTCTCACTTTCTTCCTTCCTTCTTTCTCACAGCCCCGAAGACACGGATAAGACAACCCACAGATACAAAAAGACTCCTCACAGACACATGCCAGACACTCCACAGACACCTCACAGACACACACCAGACACCTCACAGCCTCACAGACTCCTCACAGACACACACCAGACACCTCACAGCCTCACAGACACTCACCAGACACTCCACAGACACCACAGACACACACCAGACACCTCACAGCCTCACAGACTCCTCACAGAGACACACTAGACACCACACAGCCTCACAGACACTCACCAGACACTCCAGACACCTCACAGACAGCCACAGCCTCCATGGTTGCAGCAAAAGATGAAGATTGTAATAAATTAAAGAACATTAGCATGCAAAGCCAGATGGGCGGCTGAGCTCCCTCCCGCGGCGGCTGTGTGGGAGGGAGGCTCTGTGTGGCTCTAACACCGTGGTAGGGAGGCTCTGTGTGGCTCTAACACCGTGGTAGGGAGGCTCTGTGTGTCTAACACCGTGGTAGGGAGGCTCTGTGTGGCTCTAACACCGTGGGAGGCCTGTGGCCTGTGTAGGAGGCCTGTGGCTCAACACCGTGGTAGGAGCTCTGTGTGGCTCTAACACCGTGGTAGGAGGCTCTGTGTGGCCTCTAACACCGTGGTAGGGAGGCTCTGTGTGGCTCTAATACTGTGGTAGGGAGGCTCTGTGTGGCTCTAACACCGTGGTAGGGAGGTCTGTGTGGCTCTAACACTGTGGTAGGGAGGCTCTGTGTGGCCTCTAACACCGTGGTAGGGAGGCTCTGTGTGGCCTCAACACCGTGGTAGGGAGGCTCTGTGTGGCTCTAACACCGTAGGGAGGCTCTGTGTGGCTCTAACACCGTGTAGGGAGGCTCTGTGTGGCCTCTAACACCGTGGTAGGGAGGCTCTGTGTGGCTAATACTGTGGTAGGGAGGCCTGTGTGGCTCAACACCGTGGTAGGGAGGCTCTGTGTGGCTCTAACACTGTGGTAGGGAGGCTCTGTGTGGCTCTAACACCGTGGTAGGGAGGCTCTGTGTGCCTCTAACACCGTGGTAGGAGGCTGTGTGGCTCTACGTGTAGGGAGGCTCTGTGGCTCTAATACTGTGGTAGGGAGGCCTGTGTGGCCTAACACCGTGGTAGGGAGGCCTGTGTGGCTCTAACACTGTGGTGGGAGGCTCTGTGTGGCACACCGTGGTAGGGAGGCTCTGTGTGTGCACTGTGGTAGGGGGCTCTGTGTGGCTGGGGGTGTGTGGGGGGGGGGTGGGGTGTGTGGGGGGGTTGTGGGTTGGTTGTGGTGTGGGGTGGGGTGGGAGGCTCTGTGTGGCTCTGGTGGAGGCTCTGTGTGGCTCTAACACCGTGGTAGGGAGGCTCTGTGGCTCTAACACCGGTAGGGAGGCTCTGTGTGGCTCTAACACCGTAGGGAGGCTGTGTGGCTCTAATACTGTGGGGTAAGAGGTGTGTGGGGCAGACAAATGTGTGCGTGGGGGCACGGTGGTGTGTGGGTGTGTGTGTGCGGGGCGGTGTGTGTGTGGGGGCTGGGGGAGACGGGTGTGGGGGCGGGGGAGACGGTGTGTGTGTGTGGGGGCCAGGGGAGACGGTGTGTGTGGGGGGTCGGGGGTCAACCGGGGTGTGGGAGAGGACGTTGTGTGGGGAGGACGGTAGGTGGGGGAAGACGGGGTGTGTGTGGGGAGGAAGGGGACCGGGTGTGGAGAGGACGGGGGTTGTGGGGGGACGTGGTGTGGGGAAGACAGGGGTGTGGGGAGGACTTGTGGGGTGTGTGGGGAAGGACGGTGGGTGTGGGGGTGTTGGGGAGTGGTGGGTGTGTGTGGGGGAAGGACGGTGAGGTGTGTGGGGGGAGGGGGGGGCGTGGTGGGATGTGGGGTGGGAGAGTGGGGAAGACCTTGAGTGAGGGGGCGTGGTGGGGATGTGTGTGGAGAGTGGGAAGACCTTGAGTGAGGCTCGACCTGGTTTCTGCCCCTGCCAGGAGGATAACCTGCCCCCAGGAGAGAGAGAGAGAGAGGGGGCGCCCGGCCAGGCTACCTCACCCTCACACGGCCCGGCAGAGAGTCCCGACCACAGCCAGGGCAGTACTTCCCTGCCTTCTCCGCCCTTCTGCCTCTCTCTCTCTCTGTCAGTGCCGCGCCTGTTACTGTGTGGCTCACCCCGCGGCTGCCTGTCTGTCTACCTACCTCGTTCCCAGCACCACCATGAAGACTTCTCTCATCCTGCTCCTCGTTCTGGGACTCCTCTGTCTCGCTGCTGCTAAGGTAACGTACCCATTGTTCCATTCCAAATCAAAATTGGATCCGAAATCAGTGTTACCGTTTACCCTGTTATTAATCAACCTGTGCGCATAATCAAACACTGTACGACACGACGTCTTCTGATATCTCTCTCGTGTATGTTGCAAAGTGACATCCTCAATAAACGTTCTCCGACATCAACCGCACACACACACACACACACACACACACACACACACACACACACACACATGTCGTTTCAATCGCTCACCATATAGGCGTGTTCAAAATGCTGTAGTACTATCACCGTGTTCCACATCTTTTTTTGTATCGACGTCTGTGTTGTGTATCGACGTCTGTGTTGTGTATCGACGTCTGTGTTGTGTATTGACGTCTGTGTTGTGTATCGACGTCTGTGTTCTGTAATGACGTCTGTGTTCTGTATCGACGTCTGTGTTCTGTACGACGTCTGTGTCTGTATGCGTCTGTTTGTTGTGTATCGACGTCTGTGTTCTGTATCGACGTCTGTGTTGTATCGACGTCTGTGTTCTGTATCGACGTCTGTGCGTCTGTAATGACGTCTGTGTTCTGCATCGACGTCTGTGTTCTGTATCGACGTCTGTGTTGTGTATCGACGTTTGTGTTCTGTATCGACGTCTGTGTTGTGTATCGACGTCTGTGTTCTGCATCGACGTCTGTGTTCTGTATCGACGTCTGTGTTCTGTATCGACGTCTGTGTTCTGTATCGACGTCTGTGTTCTGCATCGACGGTGTTCTGTATGACGTTCGTTTTGTATCGACGTCTGTGTTCTGATCGACGTTCGTGTTCTGTATCGACGTCTGTGTTCTGTATCGACGTCTGTGTTATCGCGTGTTGTGTATCGACGTTGTTGTATCGACGTTGTGTTCTGTATCGACGTCTGTGTTGTGTATCGACGTTCGTGTTCTGTATCGACGTCTGTGTTCTGTATCGACGTCTGTGTTCTGTATCGACGTCTGTGTTGTGTATCGACGTTCGTGTTCTGTATCGACGTCTGTGTTGTGTACGACGTCTGTGTTCTGTATCGACGTCTGTGTTCTGTATCGACGTCTGTGTTCTGTATCGACGTCTGTGTTTCTGTATCGACGTCTGTGTTGTGTATCGACGTTCAGGTTCTGTATCGACGTCTGTGTTGTGTATCGACGTCTGAATTCTTCGTATCGACGTCTGTGTTCTGTATCGACGTCTGGTTCTGTATCGACGTCTGTGTTCTGTATCGACGTCTGTGTTCTGTACGACGTCTGTGTTCTGTATCGACGTCTGTGTTCTGTATCGACGTCTGTGTTCTGTATCGACGTCTGTGTTCTGTAATGACGTCTGTGTTGTGTATCGACGTGTTCTGTAATGACGTCTGTGTTGTGTATCGACGTCTGTTCTGTATCGACGTCTGTGTTCTGCATCGACGTCTGTGTTCTGTATCGACGTCTGTGTTCTGTATCGACGTCTGTACTGTATCGACGTCTGTGTTCTGTATTGACGTCGTGTGTTGTGTATCGACGTCTGTGTTCTGTATCGACGTCTGTGTTGTGTATCGACGTCTGTGTTCTGCATCGACGTCTGTGTTCTGTATCGACGTCTGTGTTCTGCATCGACGTCTGTGTTCTGTATCGACGTCTGTGTTGTGTATTAATATCTGAGTGTTTCCATGTCCTATTCTCAACCTCTCTATACGCCCCCCACCAATCGTTTGTGTTAAGACAAGGAAACACGGTTCGGGTAATATAACTTATTGAATGTAAATAATGGCACTACTGAATGTATAGTGGCACTACTGCTAGTGTAAGTGCCACTACTGCTGAATGTAGAGTACCACTACTGAATGTATAGTGGCACTACTGCTGAGATGTAAAGTGCCACTACTGCTGAATGAGAGTATTACCACTACCTGAATGTATAGTGGCACTACTGCTGAGTGTAGAGAGTGCCACTACTGCTGAGTGTAGAGTGCCACTACTGAATGTATAGTTAGCACTACTGCTGAGGTATGAAGTGCACTACTGCTGAATGTGAAGTACCACTACTGAATGTATAGTGGCACTACTGCTGTGAGTAAAGTGCCACTACTGCTGAATGTACAGTGGCACTACTGCTGAGTGTAGAGTGGCACTACTGCTGAGTGTAGAGTACCACTACTGCTGAATGTAGAGTACCACTACTGAATGTATAGTGGCACTACTGCTGAGTGTAGAGTGCCACTACTGCTGAATGTAGAGTACCACTACTGAATGTATAGTGGCACTACTGCTGAGTGTAGAGTGCCACTACTGCTGATGTAGAGTACCACTACTGAATGTATAGTGGCACCTGCTGAGTGTAGAGTGCCACTACTGCTGAATGTACAGTGGCACTACTGCTGGTGTGGAAATGCCACTACTGCTGAATGTGAAAGTACCACTACTGAATGTATAGTGGCACTACTGCTGAGTGTAAAGTGCCACTACTGCTGAATGTAGAAGTACCACTACTGAATGTATAGTGGCACTACTGCTGAGTGTGAGAGTGCCACTACTGCTGAATGTGAGTACCACTACTGAATGTATAGTAGCTCTACTGCTGAGTGTAGAGTGCCACTACTGAATGTATAGTGGCACTACTGCTGAGTGTAGAGTGCCACTACTGAATGTATAGTTACACTACTGCTGAGTGTAGAGTACCACTACTGCTGAATGTAGAGTACCACTACTGAATGTATAGTGGCACTGCTGAGTGTGAAGTGCCACTACTGAATGTATAGTGGCACTACTGCTGAGTGTAGAAATGCACCACTACTGAATGTGAAGTACCACTACTGAATGTATAGTGGCACTACTGCTGAGTGTAGAAGTGCCACTACTGAATGTGATTACTGCTGAGTATGAGAATACCACTACTGCTGAATGTAAATACCACTACTGAATGTATAGTGGCACTACTGCTGAGTGTATTTTGCTGAATGTAAAAGTACCACTACTGAACGTATAGTGGCACTACTGCTGAGTGTAGATGCCACTACTGCTGAGTGTAAAGTACACTACTGCTGAGTGTGAGTACCACTACTGAATGTATAGTGGCACTACTGCTGAGTGTAGAGTGCCTACTGCAGATGCATGAAGTGCCATTACTGCTGAATGTAGTACCACTACTGAATGTATAGTGGCACTACTGCTGTGTAAGGCCACTACTGCTGAGTGTAAAGTGCCACTACTGAATGTAGAGAGTACCACCTGAACGTATAGTGGCACTACTGCTGAGTGTAAATACCACTACTGCTGAGTGTAAGTACCACCCCAGACGTATATAGTGGCACTACTGCTGAGTACTACCAGCACGCGTGTATGATGAGTATCGGTGTGCGCGCGCGCGCGTGTGTGCGTGTGTGTGTGTGTGTTAAGGTCACCTATAACAATAATATCCAAGGAAATATTGAGATTAAAATTGAATCACTCTCTTCTTTCTTTCTCTCTTTCTTTCCTTCTCTCTTTTTTCTTCTGTTCTTCCTCTTAACATTTATCTACAGTTTCCCCTCCTTCCTTCCTTCCTCCTCCTACCTCCCTTTTATCAAGTCAAATCTTCCACCTCTCTTTCACCCTCTTACTGCTCCTCCTAGTTCTATCTTCCCTCCTCTATTCCTTCTCCCAAGAGCTCTCTAAACTCTCCTCCTCCTCCTAGTTTTCTTCCCTAGTTCTCTTCCCTCCTTCTTATCTCCTCTTCCTCATTCTCTCTTCCCTCCTCCTCCTCATCTCATCATCTTCCTCACCCACTCTTCCCTCCTCCTCCTCCTCCTCCTCTTCCTCTCTAATCCTCTCAGTCAACCTGTGGGGTGATGGCTGACCTCATGAATCTGGCATTGATTTTACCTCTATCTCATGGTGTGGGGATGTGGGGGAGGGGGATGTGTGGGGGTGGTATGTGTATGGGGGGATGTGTATGGGGATGTGGGTGTGTGTGTGTGTATGAGGGGATGTGTGTGTGGGTGATGTGTGGGGTGATGTGCGTGGGGGGATGTGTGGGGGGATGTGTGTGTGTGTGTGTGTTCAGCCAAACTATGGTGGGACGGAGATGCAAATTTCCTTATTAGGTGAAGAAGACCAAGTGTGTGTGTGTGTGTGTGTGTCCGTGATGGTGTGGGAGAGAGAGAGAGAGAGAGAGAGAGAGAGAGAGAGAGAGAGAGAGAGAGAGAGAGAGAGAGAGAGAGAGAGAGAGAGAGAGAGAGTCACAGGTGTAGCAGGGAACTAATGACCTGAAACTGAATAGAGAATAAAGGAGGACGTTGGGGGTGGGGGGTGGAGGAGAAGAGGGGGAGGAGGAAGATGAGGAGGAGGAGGAGGTACGTGGAGAAGGAGGAGGTAGAAGGAGGAGGAGGAGGAAGAGAAGGGGGTGGAGTGAGAGAAGATGGAGGTAAATTAATCCTCTCAGGTAAACTAAACACCCCAGGTAAACTAATCATCTTAGGTAAACTAATCATCTCAGGTAAACTAAACACCCCAGGTAAACTAATCAACTCAGGTAAACTAATCATCTCAGGTAAACTAATCATCTCAAGTAAACTCATCATCTCAGGTAAACTAAACACCCCAGGTAAACTAAACACCCCAGGTAAACTAATCATCTCAGGTAAACTAAACACCCAACACAACCCTACAAAGGTTACAACAACCGCAACAATAACCACACAGTTAATGTCTAAGACCAAGCACACTACCACAAGACCACAACCATTCTACAACCAACACCGTTACCACCCACACTATCACCATTACATCACCACCACCACCACCACCACACTATCACCATTACATCACCACCACCACCACCACAATACCACCACAGCTTCATGTTATGAGCTCACAACATTTGAGTGGCTGCCGTAGAAACGTTTGTGTTTACGAGGCGAGGAACAAACGTTAACTAGAAGAATCTGAGTTGTTTTAATATGACTCGGAAAACGTCTTCTGTGTCACAAGGAAAAACGTTTATCAGATTTTTTACCTTCGTCAGGACACAC